CCCCAAAACCCCAAAACCCCAAAACCCCTCTACTTTGAGCGCAGGTAGAAAATTAAATTTCAAATAATTATATAAAAGCCGAACATGGCACTTTGGACTCCCTATATGGAACAATTAGGGGTGATTTTTGACAAGGATGTGAACCAAATCAAGATTATTCTATGATTCTTTGTTGCTTTCTTTCTCAGTTATCTCACTGCTTTCATAAAATCTCCAAATGCAAGATATTTTTACTCAGTAATTACTGGATTTATATAATGAACGTGTTCATGTTTGAAGAAGCAGTGATACATCCCATTTCCATGCTCATTGGTACTTATCTTATTATGAGAATCTTCCCCAGAGATAAGCAGCAGATCATCAACTTCGTGTTCCTCTACACTTACCTCTCAGCTCAACACATACACCGCATGGTGTACCACTACGGTGAGTGGGGTGGAGAAATCACGTCATTCACCATGAACTTGGTCTGCAGACTCACTTCTGTTGCTTTCTGATACTGTGACGGTACCAACAACAAAGACAAAGACTTCCAGGAGCAACCATCGTTCATGTGGTTGCTGGGCTACACATACAACACTCCGAGCTGACTGGCAGGACCATTCTTTGAGTTCAAAGACTACAAGCATTGGATACTTTTGAAGGGAGACTACGCAAATATTCCAAGCACATTCAAACCAGGGTTCGCTAGACTTGCAACAGCCTTATTGTGGATGTGTTGTGCAACTTTCGCTACCATTTATTTTAAACCTACAGATTTGGCAACAGAAGAGTTCTGCAATAAAACATATCTCTTACAACTATGGGGTTTTCTTCTAACAATGAATAACTTTAAATATACATACTACGTTGTTTTCGTAATGAATGACTCGGCCTTAATTGCAAGCGGCCTTGCTTGGAATCCTCACCCTCGCAGATCTAACAACCCTGATTTTAAAAAAGTTAAAAATATAGATGAGTGGATTATCGACACTGGGTAACTAAATGGACTAACTCATTTAGATATTACTTAAAGTGGCAAACAGTAGGCTGGAACATCTCTATATCAGTGTGGCTTAAAAGATATGTCTTTAAAAGACTTAACAGCTATTTTGGAGGTATTCACACTCATTAATACTTATAGGGAAACCTGGTGTGAAGGAATATCTATTGACATTTTTATGTTCAGCCTTTTGGCATGGTTTTTATCCATGCTACTACTTCTTTTTCTCCTATTTCGCTATTCTCCTGTTGGCTCTAGAGGAAATCTATGATAACTACTCGTGGTATTTCATGTGGATACCTCAAACCATTAGAAGACTTATTGGGTGGATGGCAAGTTATATCTTCTGCTGCTATATAGTTACTGTATTCGCCCTTTATGACGTCAGAGATGTACTATACTACTTTAATTGTCAAAATTGGCTCTATCATATAATAATTATCCTTTTCTTGGCTTTTTCCTTTTCCCCAGCTGGGAAAAGCCTTAAAAGAAGTATCAGAACACAGAAAGCACTTGCTGTAAATAATTCAGCTCAGAAGAAGCAGGATGGCAAAAAGAAAAATTAGGAATTTTAGATTTAAATTCAATTCACAACCACCGTCTGGGGTTTTGGGGTTTTGGGGTTTTGGGGTTTTGGGG